GGACGGCTGATTTATATTCAACCGTACATACAGTGCTAATGCACATTCTTAATAGATACCTTTTCGTTTCCTTGCAGCTGCGTGAATTGTTACCGCGAAAGCGTTGTGGCTAAAGTACCTACACAACGTTTCGTTGCGCTATCTGGAGTGGCTAGTTACTATACAAAACAAGTTTATTAATCAAAATTGTGCACCTGTTTTGTGTATTCGGTTAAATCAATTTTGAATAAAATGGTAACCGGTAAAACATTTAAAGACAATGAATTCGCATTGTTGCTGGCTATTAAAATCCTAAGTTATAAGGATAAATTGATATTTCTGTACTGCGGAACATTGGTAAATTCTTTCAAAAGAAGAACATCAACTGTCAATTGGAGAACATTTCGACTCGTCGTTAAATGTAAGTTCTTTGAATATTTTGCATTGTGTAAAAATATGAGTCGGTCGTTTTGGGGACTTTGTATAAAGAAATTTATGCTTAAAGTCAAATTAACATGCCTGAATAAGTCGGCCCACGGGAGTTTATTCCGTGAATAGATTTGTATATCTTTTGTGAACGATAAACGAAACCAAACAAAAGATTTTGGTGATTTTTTCATTAAATCACCTCTTCGAAAGCAACATCCTCAGCGCCGTATCTGAGTTAACAAAACAGCATCAATAACGAAACGTTGCGGGTCATCACTTTACACCATTTCATTGCAATGTGATTTTGAGTGACCGGAATTTCAACGCAGGTTGCAATAAACCATCTCTCTTGGGCATATTTGAACATCGACTAAGCAGGCCCGCATACAAAATCCATACAGCACAAGATCACAGTAAGTAATGAATAGAGTAGGAGAGGGCCACGCAAACGCTTTCTTAACCATTGTTGGAAAACCTTGGAAACGTTCTGACAGCGTTCGTTCTTAAGATGGGAAGAGAGGGCGCTCGTAAAACTTGTTCCGCAAATTGTCGTGGGCCGCTACATAAAATAAAGATTATCCTATAATAGCCCATTTAAAACAGGGGAAGAAGAAAGCACCAATGGGGAAATATAACCTGGGTAGTCCTTTTGAAAGAATAGCGATTGATATCGAGACAGCTACTGGAAACATACATCTTGGTGACCGTGGATTATTTCAGTAAATTGACAGAAGCATAGGACCGACTACATCAAGAAGGTGACAACTATTGCAACTGTTCCAAAGTCTGTTAACTATTGGGAATTTACAAGACCAGAACCAGGGTTTTAGACGCACAGTCACACGGAATGGTGAAACGTATGAATAAGACTGTTAGTTAGTTACGTTAAAGTTATATTCGATCAGCAGAGTAATTGGGACCGATATCTGCAGATATGTATTCCTGATGGCACACCATTTTGCAGTGCAGAAAACCACAGGACGGAGCCCAACTTCCGTGTTGTTTGGGCGGAAGCTCCAATGACCATGTGATTTCACATTTGGAACAAGACCCGGTCAAGAAGAAACTGTGGGAAATGTACGTGCAAAAATTGCGTCAGAAATTGGACGGCGCGCCGTCCTTGTTTGTCATAAATAATAATATGCAATTAGTGAGGCATAAACAAGCTGAATGTTATGAAGGCCCAAATTGGTGGGCATCAATCCGGAGATCTGGTTTTGTTATATCCTCACCAGAGGAGACGCGGGCTCTCCTCGAAATTACAAAGAGCTTGCAAAGGCGATGTTTCAAGGACCCGGGGTGTTTCCATCCCAGAAGAACCCGGCAACCATTTTCTAAAACGGTTAACTGTTTCTTCTTCGAAAATGGAAGAAGCACGAAAGGGGCACCGTGCAAGTACCTCCATCGAGATCTAGAAGCTTTGCGTTTGCTATATAAGATAAATTGAATTGTGTTTAGTTTCAGTCTTAATATCGATGCTGAAGTGATAAATAGTGAAATTCGCTTCTTATATGTTATAAATTTACGTTATATAAATATTAAATAGTATGCGCCATTATCTTTGTGCTAGTAAAACAATAACATTAGAACGTGTTGATTTCTTACCTTGAAATATCAATCATAGTGATTTTTAACATAGATGATTTTCATTCCGATTGAGTCATTGTTGAACGATAGCATAAGTAAGGCTCTCTAAATGTGAGTAAGCTCGGTCGTCATATTGGACCCAGCCAATGGAGGGAGTTGCCTTGTCAGCTGGTGAATGTTTACTAAACGTTGCTCTGTTTTTATAAATTTTCATGGTTGTATTGCCATTTTCGTTCTTTCGGAGTATAAATATTGCTTGTGTAGTGCCGAATTGGTGTAGTTATATATCAACGTGCGGTAGGAAGAAGGAATTAATAAGTATTTACTTCAATTCGGTTACATTAATTTAATAAGGTAAACTATTTACATTACTTGATCTTGATCGTTATTCTTTTTGTTCAAGGAATGTGTTGCCTTTGCCCCTAAATGTGTTTCTGATGATAAAGTTTGCCAACTCAAAAATTTCTTGTAAAATTAGGTTAACTTCTTACATGCATGTTTATCAAATTCATCAATTCAAATCATATACCTACATTATCACGTGTATTATTATGGCAGATTATCAAGAAAGCATTTTAAAAATGCCCTGCTGTGCAGCTCCAAATTGCAGTAACCGATCTGAGAAACGGTACAGTCTATACCGAATCCCAGCAGATGAGCCTCGGCGGTCGAAGTGTGTGCAAAACATGACACGAGATCGAGCACCCGATAAATGGCGAAAAGTGAGAGTATGGTTCTTCGACAGAAAAAGAAACCAGATTGTAAATTGTAATTAGTTCCGAACTTTGTACCTATTTCTAAATGTATGTAAATTTTGAATGTTTTTCATATAAACCTTTTTACCTCTTTTCACTCATTAAAATAAAAACACTTAATTTAAAAATTGGGCTGAAATATAAAAGCAAAGAACTGTATTAATTTTTGTTTTTGCGCCATTTTCCTTGGGTAGCAAGTCGACACTTGTATGAACTTATTTGAATACATAAGCAGCTGACAGCGTTACTCGCTCCATAGGTTGGGTCCAAAATGGCCCTCGAGCATACCTACCTTTTTAGAGCTCTAGCATAAGATCATGTCACATTAGAACTTTAGAAGACATTTAACATAGTTGGAACAGATCCGACATGTTCCATTACAAAAGTACAGTAGGTGTGAATTTCGGTCGGTTGTCATTAACCCCCTACCGCGAACCTTATACGATATCTATAATGATTTAACCGCCTACTATTTTTGCAAAATTTGACATGACGGTAGGTGTTTGGGGCACCCCATTGATACTGCCGAAAGTGTGTGTGGGTCATTTTTGACCGCGCCGCCTAATTAAATTGGGCGTTGCTTAGAAAAAAAACGGCAAATTTATTGATCAATGAAGAACTATTGAATGCGAATCTAAATTTAGACGTATCTTTCCTAGATTACGTAATAGTTTGTCATTCACTTTAACGTAAAGTGAATGAACCGTATACATGTTTATGCAAATATCGCAACATAAACTAGTTTGTCCATGTAGTACGTCTAGACCAGGTTAGAGTGGCTAAAACGATGGGGTCTTCAGGTGTAAATATTGCGGCAGTCGTGTTAGGTACCGTTATCGGTCGTGAACCTACGTATATATTTAATAATTATTTCCCACAGTTTTTCTGATTGCAATTTAACTGGTTAATATATTTTAATGCGGCGAGCTTTGATGGCCTCCCTTAAGTTAAAGTGTACGTGATAACATCAAGGTGGTCTCTCGCATCAATTGCGTTTCGACTGAACACCTGGTGCTCGAATCACACTGTCAGAAACATCTTATGCTCTTCTTGTAGCAGATTTATAGGACGGGTCGATTGGATTTCGTGTTCCCTTCATCTGCATTCGAAAATGCATCGGGGATGCAGTCCATTCATAAACCAGTTACGTTGCATGCGAGATGTACGCGTACAGTTACTTTTTGGGAACATTGCCTTTCTTCTTTTTTTTTCATATTCGGTAAACGGCGCATAGGTGGTCTTTGCGTTTAAAATTTGCTGCTCGTTAACATGGAAGTAATAAATATTAAGTTTTTGCTGAGCGATTTTTACGACTGCCCACACGAAAGGGTGTTTTTTTTTCACTTTATTAAACCTGCCGATATTCGGTTAGATTATTAATCAGATAATTCATTGGTTTAATCTATATCGCTAATAAGATTTAGTGAAGATGTAGCAAAAAGTATCAGAGAACACCTGTTAATCTAGCTGCCACTACTTCCTGTTTTTTTAAGATTGCCATTTTTACCACACTTCGCCAGTTTTCACACCGAATGCGACTTGACCGTGGATTGAATTGTATTGTAGTATGCATCCAGATTATTCTAGTAATTATATCTAGGAACATGACGGAAGTGCCAACTATTTTTTCTACAATATCTGTAGGTAATTTTAATTACAAAGAAATACCGCGACAGGAAATTGAATAGTTTATGTGACACTCTTTTTTCAATTAATTATAAGATAATCATGGAACGATTTCATATATAAAACACTTAATTAGTTGTTTAATTGTTCCTCGTTAAAAGTTCACTGAAAAAGTGGGACCCTTTTTGTATAAGTACTTAGATCCTTCCCTTTTGAAAATTCATGATTGATTGATTGAAAGAAAATTATTCAGAAAACCACTCTTACGAGTGATCTTTCCGTTTATCGATCTTGTAGTTGACATTGAAATCGCACGCCGACAATAACAAAGGGAAATGTATCATTTTCATATGCAAATTGGCAGGCAAAACGAGAAAATTTTAATCCACATTTATTAATACAAGTGAAGCAATTACTAATGATGCCAAAACAATCTGTATTTTCCAGTATTTGTTTAAACATTTAACCGGTTTCATGCCTTCGTAGGTACCTAATCAAGTTTTATAATTTTTATGTAATTACAGCGAGAGGGAAACTAAGTGTATTTGTATTCCAGATTTGTTTACATTTTACAAATAGCTGTCGTTCGCCTTTTTAGGACAATTAAAAGTAAAGCGATCTTACCGGCTGTCACCGCAACAATCCAAAAAAAGTTCAAAATATACCACAGTATCGAACGCCACCGCACACGAGGCATGTTAGAAGAGGTCCGTTGAAGAACTGACTTCTTGGAGGTCCCCATCTTGACACGCGCTGCAAGAACCTTTACTTTATTCTTTTTCTTGCATTTGTCTATTATGCAATTCGATTAAGGAGCCTTCTCACAGCTTGACAGATCAATTTGCTTGCAAATTCGAAACGTTTCGTCTGCTCAAGATTTAAGAAAAAGGCTGTCAAGCGCGATTTCCGTTTATCAATCTCCGTTGCATCTTTTTTTTTGTTAATTAGATTAAGTGTATGTTTGATTGCAGTAAACCTTGAGGTCGCCCAAGGCTGTTGTCAAAGCATGAGATGAGAACACCGCTTGCCCACACTAGTGTAAGTAATTAATTTGCATTGTTTCATGTTTCATAAGCGAAAATTAGGAGTAAATTAAAGAGACTTCAATGGGAGATTGCGAAAGAAACCCTTGTTTAATTAAGCAAATCTATCCCATCAGATCGCGCAACCTTATTATACTCTAACTCAGCCTCAGTTCACTAAATTTTTAATTAGGAAAATGCCGAAGGCTCGCATTTCCTTAATGCACGTGTTCATTTATCGGTTAATCTGAGACGATTATCAAATTATTGTTTCCTGTTTAATTACATTCAGGCCATGCTCAATCAATCAGTGGATTCGCCGGGGCTATTATTACATTCCATGTACTACTTTATCCACGTACCTAATGTCTGTTTTCCGTCATCACTTTGCATACTAAAAAATACCTGGACGAAAATCTCCGAAGGGAAAGCCAAGATTTTTACGCAGTCACTCGAAAACCATGTACATGTGCATTTAGTTATTTCCCATAATTAATAAATAATTGCATTTTGAGTTTTCCTAACAAAATTGGTAACGAAATTGGATTAAGTACTACCGTCCTAAGATCTGGATTAAGGCCATTATTTTAATGAGAGTTTGGTAGTGTGATTCGTCCTATCGTCCAAAGAAAATGGCTATGTGCGTTCTATTTATTAGACGTTTAGAAGAATCTAGGTACTGTCATATTATTTTCAGGAATTCGCTTTCGAAAATTCGCCCTCCGAGTATTCGCCCGTTAAAAAGGCTTTAAAAAATTTGAAATAAGCACTCAATTCTAAAGTGTATATTTCTGGTAATCACATTGACCATGGTATGTTGGTATCAAAATTCGAAACAATTTTCTTCTAAAAAAATCCGCCGATAGAATAAAGGTAATTTGGGAGTTTTGAATAATTTTCTGGAATTTGGACTTAATTTATTTCACACTTTAATTGGTTGATTAATTGGCGAACTCACTTAGTCAATTATTTTCGCGGTTTCGCGGATTTAATTGAATTAATTTAATTAACATTGAAAGTAGACTTTGATTTTTATCAATTAATTAATTCTAGGGCGCAATAGAATCGAGCCAATTTGTGGGCGTGGTCAAGCGATTCTCGTCTTTTTCTGGATTTATTCGCGTAATTTGATTTGCAGCGTTTATTGGTGTTTTAATTTTGATATTTGTTTATTTGGCCTTTATTTTTGAGTGGGCGGGGGTTTCAGCCAAGGCCGCTCTACCAAACCAACCCACTATACATTTACAAAAATCCATGCCCGAAGCCGGATTCGAACCAGGGACCGCAGCAGAACTGAGCCACACGGGCCGACGCGACGGATTAATTAAATTAATTTAATTAAAATTGTATGAGATGGGATATCCGATGTCGTAACCGATATCCACTGTGCGTATTTTAAAATGGCGATATCCTGTGTGAAATGACAAACTATCCATCTCTCTTACACATTAATGCATCTTTGTCGCACTCACTCTTTAAAATTTGGAACACCGATTTATTTACCTAGGCGGTAAATTGAGACGTCTCATATTAATTGCACAATTTGGGCTCACGAAATGCTGGGGACTTTTATCACTATTTTACACTTGCACATTATTACTATCTTACTCATAAGAAAGTTTGTCACACTAATACTATTGAAATTAGGAAAATTCGCAGATTGGTAAACAAAAACGTCAAAACAAACTTGCATTTATATTTATTGTCAGTCCTTAAATATATATTAAGCGGCTTTGTAGTTCAGTGGTAGAGCGTTAGGCTACAAACCCGGAGGTCGGGCTGAGGTAGGAATTTTTCATCTGTGGGAGAGATGGGAATTTCCTTAGATGTTTCGAGCATTCTGCCGGCTACTCCGAATTAGGTTTTCCTGCAGTTTTTCTAATACGCCAGGTAAATACCGGAGTAGTATATAACAACTTAAGACCTTCTGCAGGGGCACCTCTAAAAAAGCATTATGTGGATCACTCTGTAATTGGGCGTAAGCCGGTTGAGGGTCTAGAACAAGAGGGACAATAAATCAATGCTATTAAAATAACTCTAGGTGTTTTATAGGTACTGCCAATTTCAATCCGAGTGACCGAAGGGAGGGGTTTTATCGGTCAGAGTCGTTTAATTAAAGTTTAAACTATAAAACACTATCTTCAAGATTTTTTATAACACTGAAAATAGAAAATAATTAAGAAACGTCGTACTACGTGCTGATGTACTACTTTACCTTCGATTTTTCTCTTCGAAGGTCCCACGCTGCTGATCCCTGTGTATATAAGCTTCCTTCCTTCCTTAATGTATTCCTGGGGCGAAGAAAAATATAGCCAGAGCAACCAAATAAGAGAAACGAATCCCAATTTGCAGACAGAAAGGTAACTACCATTCATATTTATAGATAAACTCCCCCTTATACAAAAAAGGAAGAGGGCCTTTCTTCGAAAAGTTGCTATTTATATTCTAAATATGGGCACTTGAAAAGATAGTTACAGACTGATCATTCTATAAGTATGTGCATATTTCATGTGATTATGATTTGAGTGCCTCAACCGAGTTTCACCATAAATCGAAAACTTTCCAATGATTAATGGGCATCCACATGAGCGCCGCACTATTTTAAAGACTCCTGGGTGTTATTCTTTTCAGCAAGCGAATTGTTTTACTTGTTTACGAAAAAAATGCAATTATTAGGGCCAATATCGAGGTGTTTGAATTTGTGAGGGGCGAGGGTCATCGACCCCCGAAATTAATATGCAGGTGTCGATAATTTCCAAGCAGCTAAAAGCTAATCTACGCAATCCGTACATCCGGCGACTAATGCAATCTGTGACGAGAAAATAATCAACGTGGGCGAGATTCCAGGACGATAAGATACAAAATACAAACTTTTATCTTTATTTCTCGCATCTTATTCAGGTTATCAGTGAATCGCGTGAAGTAATGAATGTTTTGTTTAATAATTTAGATTTGTTTATTTAGAACTAGTTGTCATATTGTTTACTAAAATAAATTTAATTATCTGGCCAGTAGGTCTGTTTTTGAGTTTAGTTAGGAAATAGGCTTTTGTCTTGTTGTCAATCATAATAAATGTATTCAGTTTCACGATTCCTTACAAAGGGAGTAAAAGGTTTATTTCAAAAGCACGGTAAAAACTCGACGAAAGCGCATTTTCCCCGCGCTACCCCTTGGCATCATCTAAGGGGGTTTATTTTGTAAATATTCTTGAACGAAAAATCACTATCTTCCATGATGTTACCTATAATCCCTTCGTTGGTTAATTGCAGAAATCTGGCTGCTTGAGAGGTCTCACACTTTTGGCTGTGTCACTTTTACTTATAATATAATACCTGAACTGCTGCCACGCGTGTTTACATTTTCAACGGTTTTCAATTCACTTTCCACGCAATTTGCCGTTTACATCGATCGAAAGGTAGTTTATGAAACGAAGAAAAAGAATCTTATCCGCTTTAGACGCGTTGGAAACAACCCGTCAGTATAATAAATAAAGCGTTATATAAGAACTTGTAAGATGAAGATAATTTGTAATCCAACATTGGCAAAATGAAAGGCAAGAGTATTGAGGAGCTGTCAGATGAATTCTGTGAAATCAGGGAAACTCGTTCTTCGAGCTTGTTGCCGAGGACTTCTTGTTTCTTTGTGTCAATTCCGATCGATTTTTTTTGGGTAAATCATTACATTTATTACAGTTTTATAACATTTGCAGAATACTATTTGAGATAAAATAACGAGCAATAAAATACATCAGCAGTCACTGTCATTACTTAAATGGAGAAACGATTTTGCCCTATTCGCGCATTGTGTGCGTTGCATTAAACTGAATTGTATTTTTTCAGTACCTTTTTTCTACAATAGTCGTTCCGATGCAATTATACAAACGCATATTCTTTTTTTAAAATCTCACGTCTGTAATTGGTATAATTAGGAGCTTTATTTATTTTTGCGGAGACACAGTGAAACGGAAGAGCATAATTTCAACGTCCGTTACAATCCTTTTGTTTCGCTTTTGATTTCACCTTATTTTTAATACGGAAAGTCACCTAATGGGTCCGAAGATTATCGAAAATATACAAAAGAAAAAAATCACAGTTATAAGAGAAGAGGCGGTGCGAATTGAACTGGAAGGTACTGTCAGATCTGAACAGTTAATTTGTGAATATTGCGATATACGTACGCTAATTTGCAATTTTAATAATTGAGCCGGTAATTGTCAGTTATGGTATCGTTAAATCTTCTTGGTATATTTTTTCTTCAGCCTTCATAAATTTTCCTCGCTATTGACAGTAAATAATTAGATGTCAGCAGGCAAAACTGAAAGGTGAAAATGAAGAGTAGAAAAAACTTGCCTTTTCGGAGGATATGCAATGATTCAAACACACCGGTTGTGTTTGTTGCGACAGCACTGCTCAAATGCATGCCATAAATACGACAGCAACTCATTTTTGATCGCCCGTTACATACTTTATAGTTCATATATTGTCGATCGATACAATTGTTTGTATTGAAATTTAACTGCTAGTTAAATTTAACAGAATGTGGAGAAACTTATCTTTATAACATAAAACTTTAAAGTTCTAAATTAATTCAATAGATCAATTCAAAGTAGACTCGGCAGTCTGGAATGGTAAGCACACTCTTACCAACTTAAAAGTAATCATGAAATATGGAGTAACAAAACCACACATTTCGACGAAATTATGTGGACTTTGTATTAAGTGGTACAAAATTTAGGGGTTCTCCCGCAATTTTTTTGTTGAAAACGCTTAATAAGGTGCTCTCTTCTAGCATTTTTATCAATTTCATGATCGTACCTGGGGGGATTAATAACGTCACGTAACCGTTAGATTCTCTGAATTCTCTGAAATACTGTTCAGTGGTTACAGCGGCAATTTCGAGGGGCCCATAGGCGCAAAATATGTAAATCCGGCCCTGGTCGGAGGTCGATTACACTGGTCCTATTATGAAAGGAGAAAAAAGGCAGATGTAACAGTTTTCCAAAATCTTACATTATTCCATTTTTTTGTTTTGTGACGAGACTTAGAGCTCGTGACCGTAACCGTTACCACGGTGGTAACGCCGTAACGCGTTTTGATAAAAATGTTTTGCCTTTAATGTGTAAGTATACCTATGTTACGCAATTCCGAGTCTGTTTAAGAAATATTCATAATGGCTGGTCATTGTGATAAATTTGGGGTGCACTTTCTTTTAAAACTTAAGGGAAGAGAAATAACTACTTCTGCCATCAGAAGGAGCTGTATAAAAATTTTTCCCTTCTTTATTATACAATTACCTAGGAATTGTATAGAATACCTGAATTATACAGATTGCCGGTAACCAAGCACAAATTACGTAAGTGCGGAGGACTGGGAAAAAAGTAGAGTTCCAGCTCAATCTCGATCGAAATAGTGTGTGCGAGTGTACCTTCAGTTTTTACGGTAGTACTATTCTAAGTGAGATTGCCGCCATCGACGAGTACTAGAGAATATAAAATCTTCTGTGCAACGTTTTGTAAATCGCGGTATAAGTAAACCGTTCGTGGGTCTGAATTGAAGTAGGGCCATATTTTTGGACTAGTGTACAAAATGGTGAAAACCGTGGGAAAATATTACGTCTGTGCAGTCGTAGTTAAGCAATCAGAAACGCTTAAGTCGAATTTAACATGGAATTTTGCTAACGAAAAAACTCAAATAATAAGCGGATCAGTCAGTGATTTTATTCCGTTTGAATTCGGTCGAGGTTCGTTATCTCGAGACAACTTTGCACCGGAGTGGGTGTCAGGGATCTGACGTAGCACCCCGAGAGCGATCCAGTTTCCAAATTTTCTTGGAGGGAGCCTTCTTTTTCAAAGGAGACTCATACTATTCGCAGCCTAAAGAATAGCTATAAGGTGTGTGTAAATATTTTGTGTAAAAATTTTTTCTTGAGCTTTCAAGCTTTACAGTTTCCCTCTGTAACTCTCCCTGCATAAATCTGGAAAGATACAAGGGAAGCAATAATGCGATCCAATGAAATATTGATATACAATTCAACAACAATCGAAATCAATTTTAATAAATTTAATTGGTAGCTATCCATCTTATAACGACTCAAAACGGGGTGAAATTGACTAAGTGGAAATTATAAAAGCACTAAACCTTCCCCATACTTCATTTAATTGTTTCAGATTTTAAATTCAGACATTATGTGACAGCACAGCGACTATAGTTTCGACCCTGAGGTCATTATCAAGCTGAAAATTTATATAATTTAAATAATTTGAAACAATGACTAAACCTTAAGTGACCTACCTTCAGTTTGAAGGAACATATAAAAGTAGTTGAAAATTACATATTAATTGGTAACATTTGGTTGATAATATGCTGTAAAACATGTGTTAGAAGCGAGTCTAGAAAATAGTTCTACTTACGGGAAAAATTACTTATTCGAACATGGAAACAATTACAATTACAATATTAACAAATTTAAGGCTTTTTGCCCTCACATTTTATAAACAATTGTTAAATTAAAATTGAACGAGATGGACGCAGCCATCTTGACAAGCAAAGTGACATGTGCTGACTAAATACGGCAGGTTAAGTAACTAAAGGGAAGGGGCAAAAGCGGGAAACTTGAACAATTTAAAAAATTAAAAGGAAATAGGGCCGGATTGGTTATGGGACGAAAAAAGAAGAAAAGGAGAAAAGAATGTAACATAGCTTACATTAGGCTATTGTTTTTATAAAATATTTAAATTAAATGGGCCAAAATACCGTGAGTCCCAACGACTACCTTCAGTAGAAACAGGGTATTTTGGCCCATTTAATTTAAATATTTTATAAAAACAATAGCCTAATGTAAGCTATGTTACATTCTTTTCTCCTTTTCTTCTTTTTTCGTCCCATAACCAATCCGGCCCTATTTCCTTTTAATTTTTAAATTGTTCAAGTTTCCCGCTTTTGCCCCTTCCCTTTAGTTACTTAACCTGCCGTATTTAGTCAGCACATGTCACTTTGCTTGTCAAGATGGCTGCGTCCATCTCGTTCAATTTTAATTTAACAATTGTTTATAAAATGTGAGGGCAAAAAAAAGCCTTAAATTTGTTAATATTGTAATTGTAATTGTTTCCATGTTCGAATAAGTAATTTTTCCCGTAAGTAGAACTATTTTCTAGACTCGCTTCTAACACATGTTTTACAGCATATTATCAACCAAATGTTACCAATTAATATGTAATTTTCAACTACTTTTATATGTTCCTTCAAACTGAAGGTAGGTCACTTAAGGTTAGTCATTGTTTCAAATTATTTAAATTATATAAATTTTCAGCTTGATAATGACCTCAGGGTCGAAACTATAGTCGCTGTGCTGTCACATAATGTCTGAATTTAAAATCTGAAACAATTAAATGAAGTATGGGGAAGGTTTAGTGCTTTTATAATTTCCACTTATTTAATAAATTTCCCTGGCTATGCAAAATAAATGTCCATACATCAGAACTTAACGTTAAAATTGATATGAAACCCCAATAAATCCCCTAACTCGACAATGAGTAACCTTCTGAACTTCACAACAATTCGCAAAATGTAAATTGATATATCGAGCACAAATTCGCATCGATATTAATCAATATAAACTGACCTTACCTTTAATGAAGTCAACGTTGTCGCAGGAAAAGAGATCTCGAACGAAACAAAGCTGTAACAGAAAACTGACAAACGCAAACACGAGTCCTATGCCCCGGTAATTAATGCCTGAAGGGCCTTGGTCTACTCGTAACTAACTTGAAGTCGGCTACGTTACATGCACAACTGCTTCATGAGGAAAGCAGTATACTTAGCCAATAGAACAACGCGTTCAAAATCGATCATATATCGCCAGAAATTACATTAATTTCCGGCAACATAATTCAAAATGTCTATACCCTTGAAGAGGTCACGAAATTATGAATTATACAGCAATCTAATCTACGAAAGTAATCGCCTATCATGTTCCTTGAACAGGAAATATTCAATTGATTACTACTTTTTTAATTCCAGTAGGTTTTTCGAGGGGTCTTAATAAAATGTCTCTTATCTACGCTCAACCCATAGGTTGAGTGAAGATCGATCTTGCTTTTGTGATGTTGCTCACCAAAATGGCCGCTATCTGGATAAGTTAAGACGTCCTGATAAGCACCTGATGTTCACATGTACGAGTACACATACACATGTACTAACCCATTTTATGTTTTAAGAGGTAGGGTTAGGGTTACTACGTTTACCTCTTAAAATAACAGGGTTATTCGTAAAACAAGGGAATTGCAGCAGCGGTGGACAATCGATCTGACTTCTACAGCAAAACCTAGCCCATATGATTATTAATTTTGCACTGTGTTTCAACGTGCCAAACTCAAGCGAGCTGGAATTAGTCCGGAAGAGGAAATTGGAATGCCAAAAAGGAATGCGCCCAAGCCTGCGCGCCACCGATAGATGGCGGCACCTACAATTTAGGTATGCTAGCGTATCTCAACCAATTAATGCAGTGACCGTAAACAAAAAATCGAAAGATATTGTAATTTAACTCGTGAAAAATTAAATAAGTAAAAAGGTTTTCGCCCTAAGGCGAATGACTTTAGCGTACTTTCCACGCATTGGCCAGTACTTTGCAAAAGGCCATAGCTATGTGAGCCATGTTTTTCTTTACGAGAAGTATCTATGGTTAAAATTTCAAAGAAATATCTTTATAAATAAGAAAATTGGCACTGCGCAGAATAAACATAGACTACGCACATCTAATGTTTACAATATGAGATATGTTTGTTTTTAACAGAAGCATCTGTGATTAAAATTCCAAAAAGATATCTGGATAAATAAGACGCATGCGCACATTAATTTGATGTTTACTGTATGCGATATGTTTACCTTTACTAGAAGTATCTGTGGTTAAAATTTCAGCAAAATATATTAATAACTAACAAAGTTGAATAGTTGATATTGCGCCACATTAATCGTCAAGATGTTTCCGGACTTAGGTGCCAGAGCTATAAGCTACCGGATTCAAAATGTTAAGAAAGTGGATGCATTAGTGCACCCAATTTCGTTGGAAAATGCGCTAAAAATGCCAAAATATTCCTTAACTTACTACGTACGAGTATATAGACCTGAAACGGTACGTGAAAATGATAACCACAAACTTACTGGAATAGAACAATGTACCTCGACAAGCACATTAGCAACAACAGTCCAGACATAACCTGAACTACTAAAAAGATTGCCATTACAGCTTATACATATTAGTGTAATTATTTCCGAGTGTTCAGTATTCATTACGTAACTGATTTAATGCTTAATTTCGAGCGAGAGACCAACAATTTTGTATAGTGGAAGTTCAATGGACCGGAACTTTGAGTAAGGTTTGTACCTACTCCAAAGGGTGCTCCTTTTGACACCCTTCTTCGGTCACTATCTATAATTAATGTGATTTCATTGTGAAGGTGATCGAGTGAATTTAGAAAGTCCAATAAAAATATTTCAAATGCTGTATGGCCATCATATGCATTTATTAACAAATGTATTGCCTCATAAGTTTACGAGTAAGAGAAAGTGACGACGCGAGATGAATGCTGAATCAATTAGATAAACTTTCACGTTTTACTAAATAACACACATTTTTATTCATAAACGATCCTTTATGTACAAAAAAACGAAAAAACAGTGTTGGCACCTCTAGTGGAAGAATTACAGTTTAGCTAAGTCCCATCACTACACATTTCTATATGTGCACGGAAAGATATGAAAGGGATAGGGTACTGAGATACAGATGCGAACAGGCGAAGGTGCATGCAATGAGGTAGAGGAAAATACAGACACAAATTCCCGCGGAAAAATAACTTAGCCTTACATTCAAAAACTACAACTACACTTTCTTCTCAAATTTTCTTAACAACTAACGTCATCGATTAAAAGTTATCAATGCTGTCGACCGATTACGTCTAATCGAGCTTGCAGATCATTGACGACCTCCGCGGGAAGTTGGTCGCCTAAAATTGGCAAAAGCTCGATTCGTTGACCGCCTGGGATATTTTCGTAAGCCCCAAGTTCAATGCCTTCTTCCACCTAAAATCGTTTGGTTCAGAATGCAAGCTTGCCGCCCTTCTTCTCGCTTACCTTTTGTATTTGTGCATCCTTTGGGATCAACTGTGAGTTTTGGGCCTGACGAATTGCTTCGTTCGTGTAAGCTCCACCTTCCCTTTGCGGATAAGCCGCGGCAATTGCAACGAGTCCAAAAATAATGAAAACCCGCATCGTAACTGAAAAGCCGGCGATGATTGCACTTACAAACAAAACAAATCGCACTTCTTACCTTTCTAACCAAACGACACTACTAATGTTAATCTTTCGGGTTTAACAAATTTCTTCTTATATAAGATTTCTCCTTCTCATGTCCCCTTCTGTTGATATTCCAAAGTGGACTTCGAGAGCATGTGAAGATGACCTGAATTAATGCTGTTCCTTAGGAGGTTTTATTGTTAGGTATTAGCGTAATTGCATTAGAATTGGTGATTCTATGTATCATACGTAATACCTATCGTTAGTGGCACATTAGCTTTGTTTTTAGACGAATTGCGTAGATTTGGATAATAATGAAAGTGCAAAAAGTAAGTCACGACTTTAAAGAAAGTGGTGAGGGCATTCCTACGCGACTTACTTTTACCGATTGTGTCACCTGTGAACTTGGATGGAAATATGCTAAACCTATACAACAATTAACGTGCCCAAGAAGTTTCATTTTACTTTTATTTAGGTGTTGGTTAAGACTTTATGGTGATGATTATTAGTGTAAATTGACTCAAAAGAAAGTATTTTGGGAGTAATAACTTTTGTTCTCGTAAACTTTTACTAGATTCCCGCAAAGATGAACATCCTAAATTTCCCAGATTTATGCAAAATTGCGAACTTTCTATCGGCTTCGTAGTAAAAGGTATCGAGGCCAACACACGATAATTGCAACTATGACTGATTTGTCTTAATGTTTATTTAATTCCATTTCATTTTCATCAACATCTGCAGGTCTTCGTCTTATCAAGTTTCATTTTGCGAATGATCGAGGCCAGTTTAGCGGAAGGTTATCGGTAACACAAAGGTCAATTTATTTCAAAAATAAAGGCTTTCTACTAACACGATCGCTACTTCTTATGATAGCTTTTACTGAACTATCACCTTCTTCTGCACTAAATTCCAAATGATAATATCGTTGTATTGACGGTAACATTTCAGTTGACCTAAAGAAGGCAGCTAATCGCACTTGACCATCTTTATCAGTTAGGATTTCACTCATTCAGGTGTGACTTGTTGAACGACTTCACGTTTTCCTAGTGGACCCATAGATTATTTTGCTATAAATCAACACTGATTCATAAATCGGCAAGGTTTCTGACGCACTGCAGCAAAGTAGCTATTGCAGAGATCCTTGTTCGTCTCTCAAACTAGTTACTGGATTTGTCGATCTGAAATTTTGGTAATGACACCTTATCTGGTTCATTCGTCTCTTTGGACTGTTCATATTCTTTCGATTCTTTAAAATCTTTCATTATCTAATATTCTAATTCTTAGAATTTTTCTCATCTAATTTCATATCCTTAATTTTTTTCAATTCTTTAGATGCTTAAGGTTCTTCGGATTCTTTCATTTCTTGTATGCTTAGAATTAATTTTTTAGGCCCGCCAGGTTCATAGGCTTCTTCAAATTCCTCCTATTTGGATTCTTCGAATTCTTCAGTGACGTGGGAAGTGAATAACGGAAGGGGGGGGGGGGCAAAAATCATGGAGTCCGAAAGGTCTCTCCCATGCAAAATTGTACTTATACGCATTAATGCAAAGCAGTGGTTTTTTAAGTGACCCTGAAACCTGTTTACTTAATCAATCAAATAATGTATTTTTGAAAGAAGTTCCGAAAAAAAATTTAAAAAAGTGTCGGAGGATGTCTGTAGTTATATGAAACTGAGCAACTCGGAGATACCTGCCTCGAACGAGAAAATCATAGCCATAGATCATTAATACTTTACTCTCGACTTTACTTAAAAAATAATGAAGAACTAGAACATACAAAAGTTACAAAAATGTTGTTCCTATTTATAGCACTATTGAGCATTTGCAAAGAAAAGCTAGTATAAAAAATTAAATATATCCAAAAATTTTCCGCCTTTCCGCAGTTTTTCTGGCAAATTCTTTCAATATACCCTATACTTCTACACTTTTTGTAATTTCTGCATGCACATACAGTAGAAGATGTGTTCGTCGCTTTTGAGTGATTTATCTACTCATTCTTAGAGGGGACGCGGCTCCCCTTGTGTATAAACTGACGGGGCGGCTCGCTTCCTCTGACCCATATGATATTTCCGACGTCGCTGCTACCTAGTCCTGAAAACAATGAGGGAGCACAATAATAACGGCCAAACAGGGTCAGCATTTATAAGTGTCTTGAGTAAGTGGCGTACAAGTTGCAAAATTTTTGTAATTTTGGAGAAGCATTGAACAATTTTTGACTAAAGAGGGTACAAACCCAATAATGTGTTCGTCGAAGAATTGCCTTATACGTTCCAACATGATAAAATGATGGTTTTAAATTATCTTAGGGACCCCCTAAGCCGACATTGCAATTTTGACTTACCTTATACTAACGGATACAATTAATTTAACTTGGGAAAGTACAGGTGAAGAAATGTTGGTTAGAGGACCGCCATTCACGTAATTCTAAGACACAAGAGCTGCAGTCCACACGAGATAAAGGAAAGGAGCAACGTGTATTACAGCGAAGAATCGGAACTGTATGAGGACTCTCTTCACGGAAGTAAATTGTTAATCGTATATACAGGCAGATCATAATGATAATGTACTTTCACATTTTACAAAGTAATATATAAAAGCATAACCACTTGTACATTATAAAATATTGGTGCACGCTACGTCTTTAATAAATAAATAACAGCATTTTATACATAAGGAATAACAAATTGTGACGCCACATTCAAAAATTGATGGTCAGTACAAGAAAGAATAAACTGATTACTACGTGCAATTGCACTTTCAAAACAGAACAAACAAAATAAACATTGTGAAACCGGGTACGCCTGCAATTATCTTCGTTGCGAAAAACCCTCTCCCCCAGCATCTGCGTAAAACGATGGTTGCATATACAGAGCCTTGTGTATGTTTCCCATAGTCCATTCCTTAAATTGAAAGGGGTGTTGCCTAACCGTAGGGGTATGGTTAAATGAATTTGACTTACGTTCCGCCAGGATTGAAGAGATTTCCGTATTGGATTCACACAAATGCAACTTTCCTGATGTCAAAGTGTGCATTTGTTGATAATAGCGTAAATGCTGTCAAAGTCCTTCAACTTAAGCACGGTTTGAATCAAGTAATGCAAACGTAGAATATTTTATTTTGTGCGAATATAACTTCTCTATTTAACGAAATCAATTTACTGTCGCTCAAGTTTACTATATAAAACCACACATATGGCCCTAACACGAAATAATGCCACGATTAAAGTGCCATGTATTTCCCAATACGATCAAAACAATGCACTTATTGCGATTAATTTAATTTGCTTTGCTCCTTATTCGGTCGTCCGCATTTTATTTAAAGACGTCGTACTTTGTATTGGTCACATAAAACATTACACCGCCCCACTTGAAATTCTAATCTAGTATTAATGCAGCAATTAACCTTTGCTTCCGTGAAGTTGCGACTAACTTTATTAAAATGTTTTCTGCAGCCGCGGGAATTTAAGTAGTCATGTTAACTGATTTGTGACTTCACCAGCTTTTTAGGTCAGTTGGCCAGTTGGCACAGGTCATTAATTCAGCGGAAAATTTAACCACCATGTAGCGATATTTTCTTATCGATTGATATCCCTGATCGAAATTGCGCCTCCTAGGTATTTATTTTGTAATCCACTAGTATAGATGTAAGTTAATTTCTGCAGTAGAGTTCTCCTTCACCTTAGTTCTTTATTTTCGCTGTTTAGCTTTCTTATTACAATAGTTCTTTATTTCGCCGACGATGGTCATGCCAAAAACGACATTGAACCATTACTTGCAAAAGAACGTACACGCCATTATTGTTACTCCACATTTTTGTCTACCTGTAAAGGGACATATGCGAAATTTTTCTCTTGTTATGTCGCTGCCGCATTTCCGGTCCTAAGGCCGTTTTCCTTTTCGGTTTACGCATTACCTTTTGACTTTTGAATTTCTTCATTATTACCTACTTAATTGTTGCTTTCAACATCGATATTCCTGAGTGGAAACAGCAGAATTTTGGATTTTCTCAATACTGCACGAGGAATTGGGGAGTTCCACCGCCATTTTATCAATCCAAGCACGCTAGATGAGTTTCTACCGTACCGGCAGAATCCCACCGCCATTTCAACGAAACCAAACATGTGCTTATACCAACATTACCTGTGGCCTACTGGTTACCTACACTTCAAGATAATTCCTATTACTGCAAGTATTAAGGAAACACATTTGGAGATTAACAATCTTGGAAATTACTCCGACATATCTGATTATTACAATTCCTGTGTCGCTACGAAGAAAATACTGATCGAGACCCGATGTTGTTGACGATTACTTTTGTGACTCCGAGAATTCATTTCTGTTTGATTACATTGTATCCTTCAGATTAGCTGTGTTATACCGATATTAGCTACCGTTACTTTTATTTATAAATTAGTTTTTGAAGTTACCGAGACTCCGTCCGAAGCCGATATCTACGATTTTTTAATGACGTTACTTGTTTCACTTCGAAGAATTTGCTCATCAACGAAACATTACTGAACATCCTTCTACAATTAAACTATTCGACAACACATTTGCGAGAAGATACATTGAGACCTGACAATAACCAATAGGTCAGTAAACAATAAATCCTTCAAACGATAAATAAGTGATTCGAAATTCTCACGCTGCTTGCTTCGGATTCGGATTTTCCCCACTTTCGATACGCTGTTTAGGAGATCGGATTGGAAATTGAGGCCTCACCGATAGATACGTCTCGTTTAGGTATACCTTCTATTTCCCCTTTGACCTGACTCTCTTCTGAAACTCAGTTTTATATAGATCCTGAATTAAAGTTTGGACCTCACCGAAACATATACCTCCTATTTTCATTTTGACAGTACCTACCTACTCTCTTTCGACAATTCGTTTTCATGATATTCGGATTTAAAGTTTTGACTACGAATAGATACGTCTCGCCCCATTGTAGATTGGAACATAACTTTCCAACGTTTTTAAATGAAATCTTCAAATAAGTAACGAGTTTTACATATTTTGATCTTTTTATGGTGACTAGGTCATCCTTGGAATTAAAAGAAGTAGATATACCTAATTTTTGGTCTGACAGTAATAGACCCCGGTATGAGTGGTTCAATCAAAATCTAATCCGGCCTAATAGTAAAACAATTTTTAAAAAGTTTTTGCTCTAATAGCCCAGGCAAATTAGTG